TAAAAAAAATCCCAGAAGGGTGCTGATTGTTGGCCTCACGGGAAGCAACACTTTAGACACCTGGTTCCTTTCTTCTCCCTCCCCACTCCAAATCCAGATTCTTTGTGTTAAAAACTGGCACACCAGGCCAGCCTACATGGTGATTTCAGTGAAGAGGATGAGTTCTTTTTATATCTGTGATTTGTGAACGTCATCTGGTTCCCAGTGCATCTGATTCCAGCTGAAGGTGGTTGTAATAGAAAGGGCCTGAAGTTTTTCTTTTGGTGGTTGTTGTTTTAGGGTTGTTTTGTTTCATTTTATTTCTTGGCAGTGGTAGGCTGATGCGGAGGATAATATCAGGGGGAGTAGAGAGCACAGATGAGAGAATGAACATATTAGGACTATAAATAACTAAGATTGAGTGTCCAAAGGTTTAGATTTGTTAGTTTGGGTTATTGCTCTGGTACAATCCAGAGGGTAAAGGTAGGAAGAATAGACTAATTCTGGTTATCTTGTTTCTGTTTACTTAGCACACAGATGATCCTTAATGGTAAGGTAGCGTCCCCACCCCACCCCTTTTCTATATAGAACAGTCAGCTACCCCCAAAGAGAGAGTTCAGATATAAGGTATGAGCAAACTAGAGCAAAATCTTAAAACAACTCTAAGGATCTTGTTATCTGCTGCTTCTGAAGCAATTTCTCCTTTCTGATCAGTGGAGCTTGGAGTTTGATATTGTCAGTTGCACTCTCAGATTACAATTAGAAGATTTTTTTGTTTAATATATATGTATGTATATATATTACATATATAGTATATATTGCGAATTTACATGTAAAATGGGTAAAAGGAGTAAGTGTAGATGATCTTGGCATCATCAGTTTGCAGTGTCACACTTTATGCCTGATCCCAAAGGGGGAAGTAAACTTAGCAGATGTCTTCCTGTTCAGACAGAATGGGAAGCAAGTTTGCATGGCTTTTCTCCATTTCCAATTTGGATGAGTCCTTGTAACTTCCAGCCCTTCTCTTGACTAGCTATAGTAACTTGTTTGTTATTGTTGTTATGTGCGAAAGAGTCGATTGCAACTCAGCGACCTTATAGGACAGACTAGAACTGCTTCGTAGGGTTTCCAAGGCTATAAATCTTTATGGAAGCAAATCGCCAAGTCTTTTCTCCCATGGAGTGGTTGGTGGCTTTCAACTGCTGACCTTTTGGTTAGCAGCCAAGCGCTTTAACCAGTGTGCCACCAGTGCTCCTTAGTGACTTGCTAGGCATTCTATATTTAAAACACTTAAGTAAATTGCAAGAATTTATCACTGGTGTCAGGACCGACAGTGAGAAAAATTATTCCCTTCACTGTGGCTCTGTTACGTTTTTATTAGTATTCCTATAGACTATTTTCCTCACCTCCATTTTTCTTTCTCTACTCAACAATAGACTTAGAATATCTATATCTGTACACGGGAGCTCTGGTAGCATAGTGCCTAAGGCACTTGACTGCTAACCAGAAGGCTGGTGATTCAAACCCACCAGCCACTTCTCGGAAGGAAGATGGGGCAATCTACTTCCATAGTAATACTGCTTCAGAAACCCAAGGAGGGGTCACTATGAAGTCGGGTCCAACTCGATGGTAGATAACAACAACAACAACATATCTATACACATACACACTCACATCTGCCCCTCCCCCCATGCCCCCATGGCTGATTTATTTGGAAGAAGATCATCAGTTCTTTTGAGGCGCTCCTGGGTGGACACGTCGAATATATTTTTAATACTTTGCAATTTTTACATGTAGTCCTAGAGGTATGTTACGCCTACCTGTTTCCAGATTTGAGTAAATGGTCATATTTTTGTCTTTCGAATGTAATAATTGAACAAAAGCAAGATCGTCTTCAAAACCCTTCGTATACATTGGTTGTCGTCAAGTGCTATCGAGTCAGTTCTGATTTAGTGACCCCATGTACAACAGAACAAAACACTGTCCAGTCCTGCACTATTCTCACAATTGTTATTATACATGAGCCCATCCTTGGAGCTACTGTGTTAATCCATCTCGTTGAGAGTCTCCCTGTTTTTCACTGACCCTCTACTAAGCATAATATGCTTCTCCAGGGATAGGTCCCTTCTGACAACATGACCCAAAGTATGAAAGATGAAGTCTCTCTTCAAAAAAACATTCCCGCTTTACTTCCTCCAAGACAGATTTGTTTATTCTCCTATAATCATATAGCCTATGGTATATTCAGTGTTCTGTATACGCTGGTAGAAAAGCGTGTTTTGTTTTTACTCACGTAACAATTACAATAACCAGATTTGAGTCCATTCTTTTATAATTATGGGAGAGGTATATTTTAAAGAGTGAGATGAATTTGGTATTGAAAATAGTCATTTATTCAAATCAGATAAATAATTACATGCTGATTGATTGCAAAAAGTTCAGGAAACTGATGATACTTCTATTAAAAATTCATTAAGAAAGATTAGTGATGTGTGTGTGTACACACACATGTACACTTGTGTATATGTGTTGTTTCTTAGAGAGATCTCCCAGATAAACTTTCAAAGACAGTTAAAAACTGAAAGTTTTAGATTTTATATAATTACAAATTAGCGTAAATGTTCTTCAAGTGTGGGGAAACTTTATGGAAAGACAGCAGTTTTTTTTTTTTTTTTTTCCCCTTTAACTTGGGCCATAGCTTTCCTCTATTGATGAGAAAAGATGGAGAGAGTGAGTCAGTAGTCTTAAATTGTATGATTTCTGTAGTCAGTCACTTTTCCTACCATTTGGAAAACCATTAGGTTCAAAATGTCTATTAACAAGGAAAGGACATTTTTGCCTATTGACAAGGAAGACACTCTTCCTAAAGATTGTTTTTTGGTAGGATTTTAAGACTCAGATGATAGTGTCTATCACTTAGTGAAGGTGTAACTCCAGGCCTTACCTGCTGTGCTGCTAGGTAGCTGAACATTTGTAGCTTCTCTGGGTGTTGCTATTTGTCATATCCTTGGTCACATCCCCCAAAGTTTAAGGAGACACCACAAAAAACAATGTTCTCTCTCCTATCATTTCTAAGCGTAAGCATTTGCTTTGGCAGCTGAGATGATGGGCTTGAATCTTTTACTGCTGCTTCGGACTTTTTTTTTTATAACAAAGTTCTGAGGGTATGTTACACCTCCCTGTTGAAATTTACTCACACTTCAGGGTAACAGGATATGTGCCTTACTAACAGGGTTTCAGGGAGCTCTGGTAGCATAGTGCCTAAGGCACTTGACTGCTAACCAGAAGACTGGCAGTTCAAACCCACCAGCCACTCCTTGGAAGGAAGATGGGGCAATCTACTTCCGTAGTGATAACTGCCTCAGAAACCCAAGGAGGGGTCACTATGAGTCAGGTTCGACCTGATGGCACATAATAACAACAACAACAGGGTTCCAGCTATAGAATATATTCCTGGAAATAATTACATAGGAAATAATTTGCCTGTAGACATATATCTGGCCATTCCTATAGCCATACTATGTCTACTTGGAGAAAATTCCTGAAGAGGTAATGATGTGACGGTGGATCAAAGTCATTCCATTCATCTTTCCAAGTTTCTTTGAAGTCTGACTTAACTACTTTCTGGTGATGTAATACTTAAGGCATTTGACTGCTAACCAGAGGTTGGTGATTCAAACCCACCAGCTGGGCAATCTACTTCCGTAAAGACTGAGAAACCCAAAGGGGGTTGCTTTGAGTCTGAATCGACTTGATGGCAATGAGTTTGGTTTTCTTCTTTTTTTGGTAATACGTTTTAGACTATGAACCTTTCATGAATTTCTTAACCGCGTTGTCTTTGGTCAGTTTTAGGTAGAAGCATGAGGTGGGTCAAGTGGTAGTTTGTGAGAGTACTTGGGCAAAGAAGCGGGGAGGATAGGAGGTGCAGAATGAAGGAAAATTCCATGGGTGTGTGAGAGAACATCAGAAAGTAAAATACCACAGAATGTTGGCTATTGGGAGTGAGGGTGAAGCTCTAAAATGGACATCAGTTAATGTTGAAAAGCAACTATAGAATGTGGTTTTTGGAAGAAAAAGATTTAGAAATTGCTTTTCATCTGTGCTCCTTGTATTTCTATGAATATAGTGTGGCAGAGGAGAGAGTTTCATATTTTCTTCACTCAGTTAAAAGACATTCACCAAACCTTTTTACTTCTGCTTCCCTTCCAGTGTCAACGAGTGGCACCAAGAGAAGAGAAGAAAGACATAAACACAGACTCGCTTGCTGCTACATGCAAATGATAGCTATTGCAGGGGAAAATTCCACAGTGTATCAATTGGGGCAGAAAATGGAGGTAATTGGCTGTAGGGGGCAGATTTTTCTTTCTGTTTTCTCAACTCATGGAAGGATATTAGTATCTGTTTGTATTTTTAAAGAAACAGGCTTTCTTATGTCGATTTGAAACTTGGTTACAATTCTAATGGTGTTGGGTCTCTCAGTTGTCTTAGAAATTTGGACTCTCCATCACTATGAGTCGGTCCGACTCCACGGCACGTAACAACAACAGCAACAATTAAAAACACTGTATTATAGTAGTAGAGTTAAGTGCAACCTGTACATTCTCATCACTGGTGTTTCATTGTAGGCAATTCATATAGTAGTAAATGACTATACCTTCTTAGGAGGGTGCTGGCCTAATGGCAGCCCCCTGGGTTCCCTAACTATTGATTTAGCCTTTCTAAACTCTGCTTAATCTAAGATTAAGAAAGGCAGAGAAACCTGTTTCAAATGATTTGATGAGTCTTATTGGTGGCATAAGGACAAGATTAAAGCAAGATCATTCAGTCATCCTTTGCTATACCAAACCTTCATTTAGTTGGAAGCTTGAATCATTACAGCCATGGGTATTGCTTTAAACTGAAGAAAGCAGGCTTTAGGCTTTTTGACTTGATCAGTTATAGAAACCCAGCCAGTGCCACCTGGCCACAATGTCAGCCTACCCTTGATAGCGATCAATCGCATCAGTAATTTCCGATTTTCAGTTCTATGGCAGAGGCTTCTTATGCGCATAAACCCTTGTCCCAATGACGTCAAGTTCGCCCATTGGCTTGGAAGGTTCAGACTTATCTTCCATCAACACCATGATGTCAGCAGTAATGAGTGTAGGGAAGATCGCCGAGAATGGCGGAAGCTCCCAGGGCGTCAAGTCCCCCACAAAGCCTCCAGGACCAAATCGGATTGGCAGAAGGAACCAGGTAAGCTTTCGTAGACTTGGCCATGAAGCCTGGTGGGTTTAGTCTCTGAGAACATTGAAAAAAGGATGTTCCCTTTAGTCCCAGCTTTCTAAGACACAGCCTTGGCTTTGTTTGGGATTAAATTAATATACCCAGAGGTCTTAATGTTTCAGGAGCAAATATTTCATAGCTTATGTCAGTTTCCTTTCATGGAGAAAATTTTCTTTGCTAAATGTTGGTGAACGTTCCCTTACTCTCTGTCCCATAATTTGATTTGGATGCAAGCTTTCATCATATGATGACCAAGGCAAAGAACGTGACTTATTTGACTTATTCTTCTGCTATAATGTGCTTTGTTTCCTTTTTCACACAGCTGGTTAATGGGATTTTCAAAGCCACTGCTTTTTTTTTTTTTAGTGTCTTTAGATTGGATAACAAATAAGTACTATTTATACTGAGACTGCTATTTCTCTCACCTCCCCCCTGCTCAGAATCCATTGGGATATAACATGAGTTTTTAATTAATATATAAATGGGCACTTTTGAAAAGTTATACTGACAGAGGTAAAGAGTGAGGCAGAAGGTGAATAGATCTCATTTTTTCTCTGAATCCATATGATATGAATTAACTACTTAACTCCACATTTCATTTTTCATTTAACTGATTAAATGGGGTTATACCAAACCTTAGGGAGATGTTCTTCTGGGTTTATCTAGGTACTAGGGGTAGATACTAGGAGCTCTGGTGACGTAGTGCCTAAAGCATTTGACTGCTAACCAGAAAGCTGACGGTTCAAATCCACCAGCCATTCCTCGGAAGGAAGATTGGGCACTCCACTTCCATAGTGATACTGCCTCAGAAACCCAAGGGAGGGGTTGCCACGAGTCGGATCCGACTCGACAGCAGTGAGTTTGGTTTTGGGGTTTTTTTAGGGGTAGATAGGAAAGTAAACCTGTTGGATTTTATGAATTCACTTTATTCGGTAATTGTCCTTACAAAGAGATCTGTAAGCACATCGCTGATGGTTTTCTATACATTCTTAGAAGTACATCGTTAGTTAAGGCCTTTGATACAACATGCACTCCAGAAAAAGCACCGCCAGCCTATATAGTCCCATCAGCTGTAGGTGAAAATGTCAATTTCTCACCCCTTCTCGAGGCTGAAGCTTGACAGTTAAATGATGCTTTAGGGTCGGGGCATTGATCTCTTTTCTGTCTTTTCCCCTTATCTCCATATGCTTCTCTTCCTGTGGGTACCTGAGAAAATACTAAGCCTGCATGGCTGTGGCCTGAACAAGAAGGAGAGCTAGCTCTGTGAAGAAAAGGTTTACTTCCACTCCCACATGATTGTCCACTGTGTTCATCCATCCATCTGTCCGTCCATCAATCCATTTACCAAAGTGTACCCAGTTCTTACTGCCACCCAGGTCCTGGCTAGGAGCCTCTCATTTCATGATGAATAAGACACATGAGGTCAATGTCCTCCTCTTCTCTGCTCCACCAGCAAAGCATGGCATGGGAGTGGTGGGAAAGGGCTTCCTTAAATAGCACAGCTAGCGTGGCCCCAGCAGAAGCCGAGTTGGCACAAGTCCAGGCTTTAGGCTATATTCCCAGTTGGTCAGAGACCAGAGGTACAGCCATAGCAGGACCCAACATAGCTCCTGTCCCACATGTTAGTAGAGATTGATCCTGAAGGTATGGGGAAGCAGCTGGTGTAGGTGTGACTAGGCCATTTTCACCCTTCTCTTTTTCTCCTTCACTGACTTGATTTTTGAAAAGGATGTCCAGGCCAGAGGTTACACAGTATATTCAGTGAATTCTTCAGAAAACCAGATGCAGTCAGGGAAAGAGTGCCTAGAAGAATAAAGTATCTTTCTTACCTGTGAACAGGATGGGGAGGTTCAGAAGAGGGAAGAGTTCCATCAGGGCCACCAGAGAGTTCCAGGACAGATTAGCCCCAGCGGATGTCTGGCATGGCTGCCAGATTGTTTCATTATGGGGATGGTTAGTTATCACATTAGCTGCTAATTTTATCTTTCAGCTTAGGAAGTGTGTGTTCCTTTTACCAGCAGAGCTGTCATAGGTGGATTTAACTAAGTCCCCAGGAGAGCCTTAGCAAGGGCCATGACACTCTCTTTTCTGTTTGGTTTGTTTTTAAAACTTAAGTCTGAGCCAGCAGACTTCCTTCTTCCAAACCACCTTGGATTTTGTTGCTCTGCCTTGTGTGCAACATACCACTGCCAGCCTCAGAGAACGTTTGGGTTCTGGTTAATGATAAGCCCCAGAGTCAATACCAGCCAGCTCCACCAAGCTGCATAGTATGTCTGGGGTCTCCTTCAAGGTGAACTCAAATGGTCTTGTTTTTTCTTAAATTCGTCTCCTGAAAAGGCTGGCTGGCCACTTACAGGCCTGACTTTCCAACATTTACTCATATCCTACTGGTGAATTTTTCTTTACATGTATGCGTATATACACATATACACACACACACATGTATGTATGTGTGCGTATGATATATGTATATATATTACACACACATACACACACACATATATATGGATTCCTTGGGTCATGCAAATGATTAACTTGCTCATTTGCTAACCAAAAGGTTGGAAGTTCAAGTCCATCCAGAGGCACCTTGGAAGAAAGGCCTGGTGATCTACTTCTGAAGAAATTAGCTGTGGAAAACCCTGTGGAGCCACAGTTCTGCTCTGAAACACATGGGGCCACTCTTAAGTTGTAATCCACTCAACAGAAATTGGTGTGTTTATGTGGTGATTTTGTAAAAGTACCCAGAAACTGAACTTGACCCTGACGTTTGGCCCAGCTATTTTATGACAGATGTTCTTATTTTATGGCAAATGTTCTTATTCTTGTGTTGCTATTTGTCTGTCTGGTGATCCTTGGCCAGCTCTATTCTGACTGTAGTTGCAGAACTGGGCTAAGAAGATACGATCCCCCTCCACCCTAACACACATTGTACCTCTGGGAGGAGTAGAAGTTTATGGATAACTAGGTGACACAGGGAATTTTTTTTTTTTTTTTTTTGACTGTCTCTGGGTGATTGACTTTTTAGAATCTATATCCTTAAATGTGTTCAATTTGAGAGTGAGAAAATGTATAACGTGCCTTATTCTTAGTCCCAAATCTTCAAATTAGGAAATAATTTATATTGCTTGAAATGAGGATGAGAGTCTTGGAAGAGGAGTGAGAGAAAACCACCTTAGATGATACACACAGACATCCTCCTGCATGCCCTCCTCCCCATCTGCTTGGTGGGGCCATTTGTCTTTATAGTCTTTGGGTAACTTTTATTTCCATCATCGCTCATGAGCAACCACAAAGGTGTTTCCTGTCTGTGCCTCAGACTTTGTCCTTCCTTCTTGGTCAGACTCACATGGCACCATGGATTAGGGCATGGGCTGTAGAATCAACCACCTGAGTTTTAATCCATGTCTGCTGCTTGATAGTTCCCTGATTTGGGACAAGTCACTTGCTTCTCTGTACCTCAGTTTCCTCATTCAGAAAATGGGATACATAATAGTAGCTCTCTCTTAGTGATTATGGAAAAAAAACAGCATTTCTGTATATTCAGAGTTTAGTACATATTAAGTGTTCATTAAATGTTTTTTTTTTATTATTACTATTATTTGTGAGGAATAGGGATACATTCAAACTTACTCAAGCATAAAGGGGTCTGTTGATATACAACCTTGCCCTAAGGTTCTGGCCATGAAGATGACTCCCTCCCTCTCTCTTAGAATACCTGGTGTCTTGCTTTGATCAGCACTGACATTGTTGCCAGCTTGTGGCTTTGACTTACCACAGCCCTGGGTCCAGCCCCAACTCTACATGAACTTTTAATTCAAGTGCTCTTGATGACCTAAATTCGTCATTCCCAAACCCAGGCACGTATCACAATCTCCTGGGCAGGTTGTGATTGTGACACAAATTTCTAGGGTTCAGTACCATCCCTACCCATTGTGAAATCCACATTTCACAAAGCTTCCCAGGTAGTTTTGCTGACCTTTGGGAACCTATTTATCTGCCTTAGTCTTTTAGCATCCCAGTTCCTGGCAGGGGTAGCCAGTCCTTGATCCAGTTAGTTTTGAGGATAGGATTGGGACAGGGATCTGTGGTGCTTAGGGATTGTGGCGATGAGGAGGTGGTGATGGGTACATTCATGCAGATCTCCATGAAGTATTAAAGTGTTTAGGGGTATTCTGTTTGGAAAGAATGGCTATAATGTATGGTTAGTGAAGGAGGTTGTCTCTTTAGGGAACATAAAATGAGCCTCCTAGCCACATACTGGGCACTCTGGTAGCATCGTGGCTAAGGCACTTGACTGCTAACCAGGAGGCTGGCGGTTCAAACCCACAAGCCACTCCTCGGAAGGAAGATGGGACAATCTACTTCCGTAGTGATACTGCCTCAGAAACCCAAGGAAGGGTCGCTATGAGTCGAGTCTGACTCGACGGCATGTAACAACAACAAGAAGCCACATATTGAGCTGACTCTGCTGTAACCATCAGAGTTTGTCATCCCCATCAGAGTTTCAACAGCCACAGCATTCTTCCCTGGGAGCGATGTCAAATAGATGCTAGTAGTAGGTGAAGGGGCCATGTTGATACCCATTGGTAGGGTGGGTTTGTTTGATGAGAACTTTATGTCCTTTCATGTGTTTTGGGGGGCTTCAGAGGCCAGGTAGAAAATAGTGAGGAGCCTGTATCAGACGTGGGAAAAACATTCCTTCTCTAGTTCTGCCATGGCTTGAGCCTTAATGTGCAGCCATTACATATCCATGAAATGCTAACCTCTATCACAGAGTGACTATGACAATTAATTAAGTGGTGTCATTGTAACAAAGCACTAATATTTATGGAGAATATGCTCTGTACTAGGTACTGTTGTGGTGTTTCCTGTGTGTTAATCAACTGAATCCTCACCTCTGTGGCTAGGTGTTACTGTTGTTCCAATTTACCAATGAGGAAACTGAGGACAGGTTTACTAAGTTCATCCCTGCAGCCTCCAGAGCCCATGCTCCTAGCCATGTAGATAGCTCATGAGACACAGGTGGTATTACAGAAATAAATGTTACTGTTTTACTGTGACTTGAAATTCATTCTTCATTCTAATACCTTTTTTTTTTTTTTTAAGGAAACAAAAGAGGAAAAGTCTTCCTATAACTGTCCCCTGTGTGAAAAGATTTGCACTACACAGCACCAGCTAACTATGCACATTCGTCAGGTTTGCCACTTTCTTTTGTATTCTTTTTTTTTTTTTTGGTAGGGGAGGGTGAAAGTTTACAGAGCAAATTCATTTTCCATGTAGTGGTTCATACACATTTTGTTTCATGACATTGCACTTTCCCACAATGGAAACAGCTCTCTTCCTACTTCCTTCCTATAGTTACTTCTTCCCTGTGTCTTTTCTTCCTATGCATTCCTGCCCCCTGAGTTATCTCCCTATGCAAATAGTGCTCTCCTGTTCTCCCATGATTGATGTTCTAAGGAGTATATCTGCCTGATGTAAATGTTTACCCTCTGGTGGTATAGTGCCTAAGACATTTGACTGCTAACCAGAAGGCTGGCGGTTCAAACCCACCAAGCACTCCTCGGAAGGAAGGTTGAGCAATCTGCTTCCCGTGGTGATACTGCCTCGGCCACTATGAGTCGCTCTGACTCAAGGGCACATAACAACAACAACAACAACAACAACAACGAGTGTATCTGCCTGATGGAAATGTTTACCCTGGATGCCTGTCTGTTGTTTGGCTGGAAGCCAGAGGATTGAGTTCAATTCCAGACTTCTTTTGTATCCTTGCTTTAAACCATTCTTCATTAGCAGAGAGCAGGGAACTGTAACTTTTAAAATGTTAAGTGTTAAATTTAACACCTTAGTAGTTTGGGAAGTAAATGCTGAATGATCATTTTTGTGTATTTGTGTAATTTTTAGAATCTTAGATCAACACAGAGCACCTTTTAAAATTTTAAAAAATCTAGTTGAATATATATTTATATACATATATATGTGTATGTGTGTTTATACACACACACACACTCATACATACATATACACACATCTATGTATGTAAAACAGAAGTCTCTTTTCATTGCATGGGGCTTGTCAGTGTAAGCACATCCCCTTTCAGTTTGATGAGATTATAGATGTAGACCTCTGCCTTCTTATATCAATACCAATTTAAGTCCCGCAGCAGGGAATTTACTTGTTTTGGAATCTTTTGTTTTATTTTCTCATGTATTAAGAAATTTATCTTCCTCCCTCTCCTGCTATGACAGATTCTTAAGAGTACTGATGAGTTTAGAACAATGAAGGACTAGAATGAAGGCGGGGTACTGAATAATAAAATAGTTGGGTTTGGATAGAAATGTTCTTCTTGCCGTATTTCAGAGTCAAAATCTTTCTAATCTTTGTAGGTTTTGGTTCTCCTCTGACAGCAGGGATAAGCCATAGAGTTTGAAAAGGGGCTGCTGACTTGTAGTATTTCACATGTCTGCTTCATAGCTGAAAGTCCTTCTGTTCATAGGAGTTAATATCTGTGGTCAGTACCTCTGTGTTTCACAGAAAGTCTTGCAAAGGCTTCCACCTCTGAGCCTCGCAGTGGAAGAATTTTTCCAAACTGGAACATGGAAGTAGAAGACAATCACACAAAATAGTTATTTTCCTGGATTCCTAATATATTTCAGTGTTATAGAAGATGTTTTCATTTCCTAGGGCTGTCACAACAAAGTAGCGCAAAGTAGATGGCTTTAAGAGAGATTTATTGTTTACCAGTTCTGGAGGCTACCCGCTGCTGCTGAGTCGATTCTGACTCATAGCAACTCTATAGGGCAGAGTAGAACTGCCCCATAGAGTTTCCAGGGCTGTAAATCTTTACAGAAGCAGACTGCCACATCTTTCTCCCAATGGGTTCAAGCCATGAATCTTTTGTATCTCAACCAAGCACCTTAACCACTGAGCTACCAGGGCTGCTTTGTGGAGGCTAGGTATCTGAAATCAGGGCATTGGAAGGGCTGTGCTCTCTCAATGTAGGTGGAAATTCTCCTTGTCTCTCTCAGTTTCTGATAGCCCTGGGCATTTCTTGGCATTCCTTTACTTATATCCTCACAACTGTCTTTTTTTGTGTGTGTGATCATCTCTGTCTTTTCTCTCTTTTATAAGACACCACTCAGGAGGGGTTAGGAATATGACTTAACTGATAACATCTTCAAATAAAGTCCCTTCATCCCCAAATACGATCTATTCATAGGTACAGAGGTTAGGATTTCAACATACCTTTTTGAGGGACACAATCCATAACAAAAGATAGTTAAAACGAAACAGAAAAAAAAGTAGCTGAAAAACCATGCTCATTTTTTATCAAGTCTGGAACTTGTATTTAGTAGTAGCTGAGTTTCTGGCCCATCTTCTTAAGTGATCAGTGAAATTCTTGTTTCCTTCAGCACAATACAGACACTGGAGGAGCCGACCATTCTTGTAGCATCTGCGGGAAGTCGCTGAGCTCGGCCAGCTCCCTGGACCGACACATGCTGGTGCACTCTGGCGAACGGCCGTATAAGTGTACCGTGTGTGGCCAGTCCTTCACCACGAATGGAAACATGCACAGGTGGGTGAGAGCACCTTCACCTGGGAAACTGGCTGGGCATCTGGAGGTGGGTGGCAAGTACAGTGGCCTAAGGTGTCAGAAGACTTGCCAAGAGGCACAAAGAATTCTTGAGTTGTGCTCACTGTATTGCAAAGCCAGAAATGGTATTGTTTGCCTGTGGGTCCTCTCTCCAGGGTATTAGAGATGTCTGGTCATGGGAAACAAAGGACCTGGGTACAGTCTTTGTTTCTCTGGGGTTCATCAAAAGGAAACACTAAAATACTATTTTGTCAGTTGGAGTCTCTTGGTTTTGGTGCAGAGGTGCGCAGCTTCATGCAAAGTAACCAACCATATGCCTGCCAGATCACTCAGTCCTTTTCCTTGAGAAAAATTTCTGGGACCTTTTAATCAATAGTTAAATGACTTTGTCCTGGAGCTTTGGGATAAGATAGGATAAAATGGAGAAAAAGAGTATCTGATACGTGGCAGAAATTACCAGCTGGGTGGATTACAGTTGCTTACTAAGAAGTGGGAGGAGAGAGCACAGTGGCAGTTGTGTTCAAATGTTGTGGGACAAGCCAATGGGAAATATACTTTGGAGAAAGATTACCTATATTTTGAAGGTGTAAGACAGAAAGACTTCAAAAGTTAACTGACATTTTGTGTATATTTATTTAAAAATAAAAGATTACATAACTGTTTCATAAATAGGTAAATTTACTTAATATGGTTGCATGTTATATTAGAATATATCTTATACATTAATGTCAGTATATAAATACTAAGATGAAAAGTGGTCTGTTTTATTCCACCTAAAAAATCATTTTATGAACACCAGTGGTATCTACTTTAGGGAACACTGGTATATTGGTAATTTTATAGATTTTTGGAATTAGGCATGTGAATTCAAATGTCAAGCCTACATTTATAAGTGGTCTATCCTTGATACCTGTTACTTAACATCTTTGTGCCTTAGTTTCCTTGTCTATAAAATGAGAGTATTAGTAGTATCTACTTCCTTGAGCATATTGAGGACTAAAGTGCACCTGACCCATGCCATGGAATATTCAGTCACCTTGTATGCATGAGAAAGGCGGACAGTGAATAGGAAGACTGAAGAATTGATGCCTTTGAATTAAGATGTTGGCAAAGAATATTGAATATACCATGGACTGCCAGAAGAATGAACCAATATGTCTTACAAGAATTACAGCTGGAAGGCTCCTTAGAAGGACAAATGGAGAGACTTTGTTTCACATACTTTGGACATGTTATCAGGAGAGGACCAGTCCTTGGAGAAGGATATCATGCTTGGTAAAGTAGAGGGTCAGTCAAAAAATTAAAGGAAGACCCTCAATGAGGTATTGACAAAATACTACTGCAACAAGTGGCTCAGACATAAAATTTATGAGGATGGTGCAGGACTGGGCAGTGTTTCGTTCTGTTGTACACAGGGTCACAGTGAATCAGAACCGACTCGATGGCACCTGACAACAACTTTATTAGATTAGGATGAGAATTAGGAGATGAGTTTAGCATACAGTTCCTGGCACATGGTAAGCCCAATAAGTGTTATTTTCTGTTACTATTATTTGCATTTCTAAATAATACTGCAATTATTTAATGCCTATGGATTTCTCAGTCTAAATTTCTAGAAGATAGTATATGACTTCGTGAAAAGTATGAATATTTATTTTTGAAGATTTTTCCCAAGATGTTTTGCCTTTTTTTCTCTCTATCTTTTCTCCTCCATATATATTTCAGTTTTCAAGGGTCATTGTCTTTACCCTTCTCCTTAAGAGTATGTTTTTGGTTCAAAGATGGAATTGAATAGTGTCACCATTTCTTATTATGGTGTTTTACATTTCAGCTTTTTATTACACCCTTTGGGAACTCTGGTGGCATAGTGCCTAAGGCATTTGACTGCTAACCAGAAGGCTAGTGGTTCAAACCCACTAGCTACTCCTTGGAAGGAAGACTGGGCATGGGCAGTCTACTGCCATAGAGATAGATACTACCTCGGAAACCCAAGGAAGGGTCACTATGAGTCGCAGTCGACTCGACAGCAGTGTTTGGTTTGGTTTTTTTGGTTTTGTTCTGTAAGTATCCTTATGCCTTTTTGTTTAGACCTCCTCTTTGTATCCCCCAAGTTCCCCCTCCAAAAAGTCCTTCGTCCTTTACGTATTTGCCCTTGTCAAAATTGGGTCCTAGAAGTTCTACTGCCTCTTCCTTCTTAGGTGTTTCCCTACTTTTCTTCTTCCAGCCACCTATCCTGCTGACCTCCCCACAGGCCAGCCCTGAGTAGGGCAGTGCGGGTATTGGTGAAAAGCACCCTTCTTGCAGCTATGTAACTCCAGTACCGCCATGCTTATGATCCTCAGTGAGACCTCTCTGGTCTTCGGCCCAACCATTGCTGATTTGGAAAGCTTCCATTTTTGAGTCAGTGTTCTGTGATTGAATATGCTGAATCAAACCATACTCACCACCATCAAGTCGATTCCAACTCGTAGCAACCCTCATTGGGTTTCCAAGGCTATACATCTTTATGGAAGAAGACTGCCTCATCTCTCTTTTGTGGAGCAACTGGTGGGTTTAAACCACCAACCTTTTGGTTAGCAGCCAAACGCCTTAACCACTGTACCATCATAGCTCCTTGTGATTGAATGTAGAGAATGTTAAATTCACCTATAAAAGGTGTAGTTACTGTATTCTCTAGGGATGCCTCCAAGAATGCATTTTAAAAAATAATCATAACTAAAGCTACAGCACATAGTGTATCAAACACTCAGCTAAGCAGTCTGCATTTAATTTAGTTTACTTTTTACATTTTTATTAAAATCCACATACCATATATTTCATCCATTTAAAGTATACAATTCAGTAGAGGTTAGTGTATTTACAGAGTTGTACAGCCATTGCAACAGTTTTCAAACATTTTTATCACTCAAAAAAAAAACAAACCCATATCCATTAACAGTCACTCCTTAGTTCCTTCCATCCTCTTCCTTTAGCTACTGGCAGACACTAATCTACTTTCTATCTATAGATTTCTCTACTCTGGACATTTCATATAAATGGAATTATACAATATGTGGTCTTCTGTGGACTGGCTTTTCCAACTTAGCATAATGTTCTCAAGATATATCCATATTGTAGTATGAATCAGTATTTCATTTCTGTTTTATTGCTAAGTAATTCTCCATTGTATGGTTATAAACCAAAACCACTGCCATTGAGTTCATTCCACCTCATAGCAACCACATAAGACTGAGTAGAACTGCCCCCAAAGGATTTTCGAGGTTGTAAATCTTTTTGGAAGCAGATGGCCACATCTTTCTCTCGTGGAGCGGCTGGTGGGTTCAAGCTACTAACATTTCTGGTTGCAGCTGAGCACTTAAACCACTGTGCCATAAGAGCGCCTTTGGTATACTATGTTCTATTTTTCACTCATTAGTTGACAGACAGACATTTGGGTTGCTTCCACGTTTTTCTATTTATGAATGATGTTTCTGTGATCATGTGCAAGTTTCTGTGGGGACATACATCTTAGGTACCTAAGAGAAATGAAAAAGTATGTCCCCACAGAAACTTACACATGAATGTTTACAGAAATATCTTAGGTATATACCAGGAGCTCTGGTGGTATAGTGCCTAAGGCATTTGACTGCTAACCAGAAGGATGGCAGTTCAAACCCACCAGCCTCTCCTCAGAAGGAAGATTGAGCAATCTACTTCATAGAGAGATACCACCTCAGAAACCCGAGGAGGGGTCGCTATGAGTCGGGACCTACATGGTAGTAAGTTTTATTTTTTTGGGGGTGGGGGATATACACCTAGTAATAGAATTTCTGGGTCATGTGAGAATGCCGTGTTTAACATTTTGAGGAACTGCGAAGCTGTTTACATTCTCACTAGCAAAGTGTAAAGGTTCCAGTTTGCCTACATCCTTGCTAGTATTTTTCTTTTGTGTTTTGGTAAAGTGATAGGTCATGGTAGTTTTGATTTACCTTTCCCTATAGGCTTATTGGCCAAATTATACATCTTTGGTAAAATATCTATTCAGGTCTTTGCTATCTTTTTTAATTTAGTTATTTGTCTTTTTATTGTTGAATTTTAACAATTCTTTGTTCTAGATACAAGTCCTTTATCAGATAGCTGATCTGCAAATGTTTTCTCCCATTACATGGATTGGCTTTTCTTTTTCTCAGTGGTATCATTTGCAACACAAAAGTTTTAAATTTGATTTTTCTTTTGTCACTTTTTTTTGGTGGCATATATAAGGCTTTGCCTAACCCAGTGTCACAAAATGTACTGTCTTTTCTAAGAGAGCTCTGGTGACATAATGTCTAAGGCATTTGACTGCTAACCAGAAGGCTAGCAGTTCAAACCCACCAGCCACTTCTTGGAAGGAAGGTTGGGCAATCTACTTCTTTAGAGGTAGCACTTCGGAAACCCAAGGGAGGGATCGCTATGTGTCAGACCCGATTCAATGGTAGTGAGTTTGGTTTGGTATCTTTTCTAAGGGAGCTCTGGTGGTGTAGTGCCTAAGGCATTTGACTGCTAACAAGAAGGCTGGTGGTTCAAACCCACCAGCCACTCCTTGGAAGGAAGACGGGGCAATCTCCTTCTGTAGAGATACTGCCTCGGAAACCCAAAGACAGATCACTATGAGTCGAAATTGACTCAACAGCCGTGAGATCTTTTCTAAAAGTTGTATAGCTTTAGTTCTTGTATTTTGGTCTGTGATCCTTTTTGGGTTACTGTTTGTGGTACAAGGATGTGGTCCAATTTCGTTCATTTGCATGTGTATGTCCAGTTGTTCAGGCACCATTTGTTGAAAAGACTATTCTTAAGCCATTGCATTCTCTCAGTGCCCTTGTCCAAAATTCATTGACCATATGTGTACAGACTAATTAATGGACTCAGTTCTGTTCCATTGATCTTATATGTCTGTTGTTATGCCAGTACCATATTGTCTTTATTAGAGTAGCCTTGTAGTGAATTTTGAAATTGGGATGTGT